GGGGGGGGGGGGGGGGGGGGGGGGAAGCCTTGGAGAAGTTAGAACTAGTCAGGTTCCTCCTCTTCTTGGCCTTTCTAAAATTGAAACATGAATAAGTCAGAGATTGAATGGTAGCATCATCGACTGTGAAATTGAATCAATTCGAGTCCCATCGAGATTTTTCCTTTTCGCAAGAGCACCCTGAGTAATGAAGTCACCCGAGGTCATCGTTGCTCCCAACGACCGCCGTATACTACTGGTACTGTACCTTATCGTAACTTATATGTATGCACCATAGATTCAGCCACACCTCATCACCGCATGTGGGGACCAACAACTGCATAATTTTGTACACACTAAAAACTACAATGAAGTCCGTCTTATTCTTCTAGACTAGATCCATCTCTCCTCACCTTCACACTAATAATCCTTGATCCTTTCGCCCTTCTTCACACCTTATTCGACCTCATTCGAAATCAATTTTGGTGCCTGCTTGCCATACCTTACTATGTACACTATGTCCAGTACGGTTTTCTAGCATGGCATCGGATACCTCGGGTGACCGCCACCAGCAATCAACGGTCGGATGGAAACAAAGATTCCCAGTTGCATGGCAGAACAACTACAAGTTCAAGTCAACATCACATCACGAGCTTACTCTCTCAAGCTTACATCTCGTGATCCCGGTGCCACGAGTAAATTACCCATTCGATTCGCACTACTCCGTACCGTGGACGGACACCTCCAACACACTTTTTTGAGGCTGTGCTGTCTCGGCATGATATCATCCACCGCAAGGCAGACCAGACCAGAGCAGAAACCAGAGCACTGGGATCCATAGCAGTATTTACGCCGACGTCCTGCAACGTACAGTGTACTGTAGTGTCAGTAAAGTGAATGCCAAGTTACGGAATATGGAAGAAGCTTTGATGCACCCAAGTGGCAGTGCAGTCAGTGATTTTACCGAGTTTGTTGGGCCCAAACGAATCGCTGGCATCTCTCCGTACTCCGTGTGCCATTCCAAATCCCGGTATACCGGTATGGATCTGTAGTAGGCAGCCGTTCTACAACGGGCGAAGAGGAAGAATTAGACCGATACAGCGACGCTCACTACATACAAGTCTATGCTTAATTTAGTGCAAGTACACATAAGCTTACTCACTCACCATCTTGATCATTATAGCTCAAATGAGAGGGGACTACTTTAATCCAGTCAAGTCTGAATGATGACGACTCTATACTAACGTTAGGTACCTAGCTAATGAACACAACTTCAAAGAATACTAACCACCCCCACCCCATTATGAATCAATCACCCACATCCTAATCACAAGTGCCGTGCGATGACAGCGCGCAATCGCACAAGGGCCACTGAACCTTCGCTGGACCCTGTTGGCGGGGGCTAGGATTTGCTAGAAAGACATGGGAAGGGCTTGCTTACTTCCCGTCTTCGCAGCTGCAATGCCAACGCATCACTTGGTCTGTGTGCGTGCGTGCGTGTCTGACCTTTTTTTGTTTGGTTTGCCCTGTTGTTGTTTCTTTCCTTCTCCCCCCCCCCCCTACTCCCTCATTTCCCCTCGATCAACATTCTCTTTAATGTTCTAAATAAGAAGAATGTCATGCCCTTCAATCAACAAGAGCCGATGTTCCAGTTATTGCAATGTGCCTGGCGCAGTGAAGTGCGCGACTGACGGCGCTCTCTACGTCTTTCCCTTCTATACTTGAATCAACCTTCTATACTTGGATCAAACCGAGGCGCATCACCAGATTCTACATCTCTCACGCACCATACACATTCTCCACCTCAGATCTCTTTCTGGAGTTGGGGTGGGCTGGTCACCGCACCGGTCTTCTCGATCGATGGTCTGCTCTCTTCGATATGATGATAGATTACATGCAAGATATGCAGCAACAACTCCAAAGACTATCTCATTAACATAACATCCATGAAACAGAAAGCTTCGCTAGAATTCGAACAATGTGCCTGGCTCACAAAAAACGTTCACATCGTTACAACTAGGCCGCCAGCCGCGAACAACGGCTGCAGTCTACGATCTCCAATCTCGATCACTCGCTCATTTCCCTCGGGTGCCATCCTCGGATCAGTCAACTCCTACCGGCTGGCACGAGCGATCAACCAATGCAGAACTGCATCGAGGTTGGTTTCTTCTTTTGCGCTGATACCATAGCAGCTCACCTCCCGGTGGGTAATGGATTTCAGGTCCATCGCTTCGATCAGATCATCCACCGACAACTTATTGGGGAGATCCGATTTATTCCCCAGCACGAGGAGGGGGATTCCATCGAGCGTGGACTTTTTCATCAGGTCATGCAACTCTTCCGTCGCGACTGGCAGAGCGGCGCGATCTGCCGCATCCACAATGTAACTAAATGGTGAGAGTCAGTGACGTCCATCGCCTGACGTTGACGTCTAGGAGAGAAGGATGCTTTACACGATCGCATTAACGCCTCGACAATACCGCTCCCACATCGGTCGGAATCGCGGCTGGCCCCCCAGATCCCAGCTGCACAGAATATTAGCCGCAACACTGACGACTTATGCGACAGCTCGATACCAGAGCAGGGTACCCACCACTTCAGAGTCACATGTCCTTTTTGGACACGCTTTGTGTTGAACCCAATGGTGGGGATCGAACTACCAGTGTGCATTAGCGATCGGCTAACTCTGCGCCATCTTTGAACCAGGCCTGATGCGGTCGGACTTACTCTACAGTGAACTCGCCGCCCTGTGAATGTGATTAGCGATAGTTTCGGCTGGGTCATGATGGCCAAGACATACCGCAAGAACACGCAACAAAGAAGACTTTCCTGCATTTTGGAGCCCAATCATGGTGACATCCATCTCCGTTGCCCTACAGAGGCATCATATAAAAGTGATCTTAGCAAATCATCCTATGCCTTCTCGGCGGGGGACGGGCCGCAGGATGGAGGGACCATCTCCGGGGAGAAACCGATTTACTTAGTCGGGGAGGGGGGCGGCGACGGCCCACTTACCAGAACATCCTCAGAAGCCAGTCATAGATCGTTCGAAAGATACCCGCCATATTGGTAGTGAGAAGTTGAGAAGGAAAAGTGGTGGTCGGAATCTCCTTAGAAGTTGTGTTGCGAAAAGAGCAAGTGGAAGACTGCAGCTGGGCTCGGCTGGTGGGCGATCGACAACCGGGGTGTGGGCGGTGATATCGAGTTTCCAAGGACACACGGACGTTGTGTACGGTGTGCTAAGGTGCTGGGACACCGTGGGGTGGGGATTGCCGTTCGAAGGGAGAGCCGCCGTGTTCCAACAAAACAGAGGAGAAGAAAAGGAGTAGGATGGTAGAAGTCAGTCGCAGCGAGCAGAAGAACCGTAAGGATATGAAGACGAGAAGAGAACGGCGTAGAAGAGCAACAACCTGTGACCTGAAAATGCAAGTCGGGATTTCGCCAGACTGCGGCAGATTGTTATGTTGTTGTCGTATTATTATTGTTGTAGAGGGTCAAGGCTGGTGGGAAAAGAAGAAAGTAAAATTCACTAAGCACCGATAAAGGCGGCAAGTTTCCAAGTTTTCTGGACAAGCCTCAAGGCGGGTGTAGTGACAGAGGGAAGTAATAAGAATAATTTCTTCTTCTGAAGCCTTATTCTTTTTTCCTTCCCGCGTTGTGGTGAGACCGAGCAGCGTTGATGGATGGATCGATCTACTAAGTACGAGTATGTGCACGCATGACCGTTCGCTCTTGCGCCTGCGCCGCCGCCGCCGCCGCCGCGGCTGGAGAAGAAGGAGGGAGGGTGAGGGAGGGAGGGGAGCGCCTACTAGTCAGTGCTCTCTCTCTAGTGCAGGCAGTACAGTACGTACTAGTGAACTAAGGTAAGGTAGTCCTGGTCCTGCCCAGTCAGTCAGTCTCCTGTCAGGTCGGTGTCGGTGTCTGTGCCTGTGTCAAGTCTGTCAGAACTCTGCTCGAATGCTCAGAGTAGTATGACGGCCTATCTTCCAGTCGCAGCTTTTTTTTTTCCTTTCAAAAGAGTTGATCGGTGAAGATGAACGACATTCCGACTAACCATAAGCTGTAAGTTACCTTAACTTTAAGCAGACTGATAATTCTGCGATTAGTTAGCTAGTGAGGCCGGTCAGTGACTAAGAAGTAGCCAGCGTGGGAAATGTATCCAAAGGAATGACGGCAATTCCCGGGAGCATTTGTTAGCTAAGATTAAACAGATTAATAAAACAATGGCCGGTCACCCTGTTCGCTCATGTCGGCGACGGGCTTCTCGTACTCGGTATAATTGTCGCCAAAAGGACCAAGACTGACTGTATGTACAGTACGAAGTCAGTCTCAAATCATCCCTTTGGCTTATCTCTCTGACTGTTCGAAAAACCCAGGAGACAAAATACTCCATCAGCGCAGGAACTGGGAACATCCAGCAGGCTGGCGTCCACTTAGACTCGACCTCGAATCGATAGTTCCATACTAAAAGCACCACCATCAATGACGACGGAGGATGGGTCCGCCGCCGCCATCGATTGTGGATTGATTGATTGGCATTGATTGATTGTCTGGCTATGAAGAGGCCCCGCCCGGGCCCGGCATGCCAGGTGCTCTTTGCCTTGTTGCCTAAGGTGGTAAGGCGGAACTTCTGTCCCGTGCGTTAGTCCCGTGATGCGAATGGCGGTCTGCATTTTCTGCCAGCACTTTCTGCCCTTCCCCTCAGTCCCGTGATATATGCCTCAGGCCACCAAGTATCTACCTGTACGGCTATCAGCACGTGATGATATCTGTCCGTCGGGTCCACCTCGAAAAATTTCCCCGTCGGTCGAGGATGAGGCTTCGTCCGTTCCTCAGACTGAACTTGGGGTCTCACTCCAGTCTTCTGGGTATTATCAAAGAGCGCTTCTACTGCGCCAGACGCTTCTCTCACCATGGCTCCCACAGCGGCGACAGACACCAATTGGTCTGTCAACTACGATACCCTGAAGCGGGAGAAGCTCTTCAGGAACCCTCCCACCGACCATACCGCATACCCAGCGTTGGCCGCCTCCATCCGGCCGCACGTCGATTCTTTCAATGCGCTCTTCGACGGTTCCAAGACCCTGGAAGAGGCCCTGAAGGACATTGGCACCAAGACCTTTCTCGACGGCGATGCTGAGACCCCCGAACAGAAGAAGGCTCGCATTGCGGAGGGCCGCAAGGCTCCGAGACGCAACCGGCTCAACGTTCGGATCAGTGAAGTTTTTCTCGAGAAGCCCGCACTGCCCCCTACCAACAAGTTCGCGACTCGCAACCGCAATATCTATCCCTCGGAATGCCGTGAGAGACACGCGACGTATCGCGGGAAGCTGCGCGCTCGCATCGAGTGGCAGGTCAACAATGGCGATTGGATGGAGTCGGTCCGAGAATTGGGCCAGGTCCCCATTATGCTGAGGGTAAGTTGACGACAAGCTGGACTTTGTGTGTCCGGTGACGGTCCGCAGTTACTGACCACGCTGGCAGACCAACCGATGCCATCTCGAGAAGGCGACCCCTCATGAACTCGTCGAGCACAAGGAAGAATCGGAGGAGCTGGGTGGTTATTTCATTGTCAACGGAAACGAGAAGCTCATTCGAATGCTGGTGGTCGGAAAGCGAAACTACCCCATGGCGATCATCCGTGGTTCCTTCGTCAAGCGTGGCCACACATACACCAAATACGGTATCCAGATCCGGTCCGTAAGGCCAGATCAGACATCGCAAACGAACTCTCTACACTACTTGACCGACGGCAACCTGACCTTCCGTTTCTCCTGGAGAAAGAACGAGTACCTCATCCCGGTGATGATGATCCTCAAGGCCTTGGTGGAGACAAACGATCGCGAAATCTTCGAGGGAATCGTGGGCGGCGCCTCGTCTGAGGGCATCAAGAACACATTTATCACGGATCGTGTGGAGTTGCTGCTTCGGACATACAAGGCATACAACAAGCACAGCCGCTCGGCCTGCCGATCATATCTCGGAGAGAAGTTCAAGCCTGTTCTTGGAGTCGCGGCCGACATGTCCAACGAAGATGCTGGTACCGAGTTCCTCCGCAAGGTTGTCCTCCCCCACCTGGGCTGCCACAACGTCACCGAAACCCAGGATTACGACAAGTTCAAGATGATCCTGTTCATGATTCGAAAGCTCTATGCATTGGTTGCCGGAGATTGCGCTCCGGACAATCCGGATGCGGTCTCCAACCAAGAAATCCTTCTTGGTGGTTTCCTCTACGGAATGCTTCTCAAGGAAAGGCTCGAGGAATGGGTGAGGTCTTTCAGCCCAATTCTCAGGGACTGGTCCAACCGCAACAGCGGAGCCAAGTTCACCGACTCCGCATTCGAGAGGGACTTCCTCAGCAAGGTTGTGAAGCGGTCCAACGAGAACATCGGAGGAGCTCTTGAATATTTCCTTTCCACCGGTAACCTGGTCAGTCCCACTGGTCTTGATTTACAGCAGGCATCCGGTTACACTGTCATGGCAGAAAAGATCAACTTCTACCGGTTCATCAGTCACTTCCGCATGATTCACAGAGGTAGCTTCTTCGCACAGCTCAAGACCACCACGGTCCGTAAGCTGTTGCCTGAGAGTTGGGGTTTCTTCTGCCCTGTACACACTCCTGATGGAGCTCCTTGTGGTCTGCTTAACCATCTTGCGCACAAGTGCTTGATCGCCACTAGTGACGTTGATGTATCAAAGATTCCCAAGGTACTGGTGCAGTTGGGTGTTCGTTCTGAGTCGTCTGTTTCTGTGGAGGAGAGCGTGACTGTCCAGCTGGACGGACGCGTTATTGGATACTGCTCCCCCAAGCAGGCCGGCGCAATTGCCAACACGCTAAGACGCTGGAAGGTGGCAGGAGACGACCGTATCCCTCTCGAGCTGGAGATCGGCTACGTCCCCAACTCCAATGGCGGTCAGTATCCTGGTATCTACATGTTCTCGCAAGCCGCCAGAATGTTCAGACCCGTCAAGTACCTGCCCCTGGGCAAGCTCGACTACGTCGGCCCATTCGAGCAGCCCTTCATGGAGATTGCCTGCATGCCCAACGATCTTATCTCGGGTGTTTCCACTCACATCGAGTTCACTCCCACGAACATGTTCTCCATTGTCGCCAATATGACGCCATTCTCCGATCAGAACCAATCGCCTCGTAACATGTACCAGTGTCAGATGAGCAAACAGACAATGGGTACGCCTGGTACTGCGATCGATTACCGCACCGACAACAAGCTGTACCGGTTGCAGACAGGTCAGACCCCGATCGTGCGGTCGCCGCTCTACAACGCCTACGGTCTGGACAACTTCCCCAACGGTACGAACGCTATTGTTGCTATTATCTCCTACACCGGTTACGACATGGACGACGCTATGATCATCAACAAATCCTCTCACGAACGTGGTTTCGGTCACGGTACGATTTACAAGACCAAGGTCCATGGCCTTGACGACAACGACTCCCGCCGCGGCAAGTCCCGCCGTGAGATCACCAAGCTCTTCGGTTTTGCCCCCGGTGACCAGATCAAGGCCGAGTGGCGTGCCACCCTCGATGAAGACGGTCTGCCTCACATTGGCGCCCGAGTCAAGGAAGGCAGCTATGTTGCGGCGTGGCACAACGTGCGGTATGACGCCGCCAGCGACTCGTACGTGAACGTGGATGGCGTCACCCACTTCGTGAAGTACAAGGACGCGGAAGAAGGATACATCGATAGCCTGCGCATCCTGGGAGCCGAATCCGGTGTCGAGCCCTGCCAATCGATCAGCGTCAAGTACCGCATTCCCCGTAAGCCGATCATCGGTGACAAGTTCTCCTCTCGTCACGGACAGAAGGGTGTTTGCTCGCAGCTCTGGCCCGCGGTGGACATGCCCTTCTCCGAAAGTGGCATCCAGCCCGACCTGATCATCAACCCTCACGCTTTCCCTTCCCGTAAGCTCTTCCCCCTCCCCCTGACCTTTTACACCCCTTCCTCAACATTCATCTAACCGCTCTTCCACACAGGTATGACAATCGCCCAGATGGTCGAATCCATGGCCGGTAAGGCCGGTGCCCTCCACGGCCACCCGCAAGACTGCACGCCGTTCCAGTTCTCCGAGGAGAACACGGCGGTGGACTACTTCGGGCAGCAGCTCCGCAAGGCCGGGTACAACTACTTCGGCAACGAGCCCCTGTACAGCGGGATCACGGGCAAGGAGTTCGCGGCGGACATCTTCATCGGCGTGGTCCACTACCAGCGTCTGCGTCACATGGTCAACGACAAGTTCCAGGTCCGCACCACGGGCCCCGTCAACAACCTGACCGGCCAGCCCGTCAAGGGCCGTGCCAAGGGCGGTGGTATCCGTGTCGGCGAGATGGAGCGCGACTCGCTGATCGCCCACGGCGCCGCCTTCCTCCTGCAGGACCGTCTCATGAACTGCTCCGACTCCACCCGCTCCTGGATCTGCCGCGACTGCGGCTCCTTCCTCTCCACCCAGGTCGTCGCCTCCGCCGCCGGCTCCAGCAAGGCCCGCATCGCCGCCGCCAAGGCCGCTTCCTCCCAGTCCGCCAGCAGCACCAAAGACCACCACGGCCCCAGCGGCCTGTCCGGCCTCGTCCGCTGCCGTCGCTGCGCCCGCGAGGCCGTCTTCGATGACTCCCGCGCCCTCGTCTGGGAGGACGGGGACGGCCGTCGCTACGTCGGCGGCGATAACGTCACCGTCGTCGCCGTGCCGGGTGTGCTGCGGTACCTGGACGTCGAACTCGCTGCCATGGGTATCCGGATGAAATTCCGGGTGGATAACTAGGTCGCCAGCCGCCTGCCGCCAGCCCCGGCCCGCTAGGACAGAATGTGTCTTTTTTAAATCCCTCCCACAAAAAAAAGCATTGATTGTCGTATTTTGTTTTCCTTTTTATTTTGTCATAGATGGGCGTATTTCAGCAACTTTTTTAATTTCTGCTTGGTTCTTGGAGACGAACGTTTGTATGCTACTTCACCACACTCACACATACGGTATGGATCTGTTATGTAGTGCATGTTGCTGTGAATAAGATTTTTCTTTTCTTTTCTTTTCTTTCCTTTCTGTTCAACCTCTATGGTTGGGTGTGACATACGGATTAGTCGCTATGAAGTAGGTACCTAATCTCTATCGTGGGGCATGTCTGTCTGTTACGCTATTCGTCTCCAGGCTATCATCTTCCCTCTGGAAAAGTACACACCCTAGCCGGCAAACCTGCTACCCTAAGCCAGTTTGGGAATAACTACGGTTTCACTTCCATACCCAGAACCCAGAAAAGCAAGCCGACAGAAGTATCAAAGTTTGACCATTTCATAAAGTTATTGACACCCCATACAAAAGACCGGAAAAAAGAACTACCACTCAAGAGCGCGGGGGGTTGGGTAAACCTGCCTAGAGAGCCTAAATCTATCTACTAGGTAGCCACCCACCGACCCATCCTATTCTATAGACCGACCTACAACTCCGACGTGACGTTCGAGAACTCGCCCTTCTCCAGCTTCGTCTTCCAGAATATGGGGTTCATGTCGTTGAAGCCGTGGTGGACCCAGCCTTCCTCCTTGACGTGGTACAGGTTGATGAAGCCACCGGAGTAGGCGTCGCGGTGCATGGCGGCCAGGATACTGCGGCGGCCGAGCTCGAGGGCCTCCTGCTCGGTCAGGTCGTACCGGTAGTTGGCGTCCAGCACGCCGTAGGCGAAGGTCTGGCCGGAGCCGACGCAGAAGAGGTTGCCGGCCAGCCGGGTGCCGTCGGAGTCGATGTAGTAGAGGGCGGGGCCTTCTTGCGGGGTCATCTATATCCGGTTCAAAAGTGTTAGAGCATGACCCCATGGGTTAAAGGGATATGGTTGGGGCAAAGGGGGGCCGGAGGGGGATGATGGGCTAAAACGTACGCCGGCTAACATCGTTCCCATGCTCAGACCCATCCCCTTGTACGCGTATGTTAGGTTGGCGAGGATTTTCGAGGCCGCGGCGACGGTGATACGGCGCTTGTGTCGGATTTCTATGCAGCCCGAAAGGTTAGTGGTTGTGCCTCCGAGAAAAGAGAGGGGGGAAACCTACCGTGAAGTGTGCATTGCTGGCTCAGATATCTCAACCAATATTGACAATCCTGGACGGCAAGCGCATGTCGTCAGCATTTTGCACTGCCAAAAAAGTCTCGCAAACCGGGCAACACGTACAGCAGCACCACCAGCCATGGTCCCCAGCAGACCCGGAGTCGGCTCGTTCGTCGGCTTATCTTCGCCGCGACTCAACCGCGAAACAGGGATAACCTTCTTCACTGTCTGACTGGCGATCCAGTTTCCAGCGGTGGCTCTGGAATCGGTCGCGACGATCTTGTGGCAAAAAAAATTCCGTCAGTCATCATTCTCTCGAGGCAAAGGATGTGGAAACTGGTGAAGAATGACGGCATACAATTCCGCCCTGGAACCGGAAAGCCAGCGTCGTCGTCCCGTGGGCAAGTTTGATGGGGCAGCTGGGGTTCGAGTGGTCATCGGTCATGGCACGGAGGAAGGCTCTGGACTGGATTCTGGGGTTAGCTGGTCGATCGTGGACTCCGTGAGGGGAGGGACAATTCATAGTGTCTATTCGGGCGGCGGCAGCGGCGGCGGCGTCGACTCCGAACATAGTTCGTATCGACGTCCACCAAGAGAGGGAGGCCCAAATAGCACGCGGAGTCTGACGGCACAGTGCTCACATTATCGACGGGGGGAAGGCTGAACTTCAAGGACAGAGGTGGAAGGCTCTCGGTGAGATCACGCTGTTCTTGCTCGGAGTAGAACTCATTCTGGTGCGGCGCCCGCGTGTATTGGGCGACCAATTTATCCATGATGTGCGAGGGATGGTTGTTGAGTTCGAAATGAATGGCAAGACGGGGGGTGAGGAAGAAAGGACACGGCAAATGGCGGAGGGAGGATGGAGAAGTATGAGATAAGAGAAGGCAGATGCAGCTCGGGAGCTCTGATGATTGATGATGCTGGGAGTGGGAGCTCCAATCCCTCCGTCCGCGTCACGCTGGCCGCCTGGATCACGTGCTGTTTACCGTCTAACTGATCCACAGCAAGCAACTATGTGCTAACTTCCTACTTAAATCTACTAAAATTTACTGGTCTTTTCACAAACGCAAGGTCAATAATCGCATTGCTACTTATACAGAATCAACTACCGGAGCAAACTCAATCTATGTTTACCTTTTTCATCTTCTTGTTCGCTGACCCGACCTAAACCGTCATTCTCATAGTAACAGAACTTAAGACATGCAAGAGACCCAAAATCCAAACCGAACATGAACAGCTGAGAATCAAATCGGAACGGCAACTGGATGCGCAGGAATAGGGCTCGATACATAGGGAATCTCAGAGCCACGAGAGATATGCGCCGACTGCAGGTCATCTGATGTCCGCGGCAGGTCTTCGCTGGTCTTGCCAACGGGTTCGGAAACAACCCCGTTAGCAGTCTGGCCCTGGACTTCCTCACTAGTGTACTTCTCTGGAGCAGGAATACTGCTGGACTGCGCTTCAGTCCCACTGATAACGGCTGGGTCTTGGGCTGTACCGGTGGTATAGCGTTCTTCAGCAGCATTGGTAGTTGCGGGCTCCGGGGCGGAGGTGTCAGCATACAGCTCAGAGCCGGCACCGTCGACGTAGCGGTCATGATCCGTTCCATTAGCATACGTATCCCGGTGGGCTGCATCAGGATATGCCTCAGTACCGTGACCGTTCGCATACGGCTCGGCGGGGGTCTCGCGAGCATATCCATTTGCCCCAGTGTCGTTGCCGTTAGCATACGGCTCGGCGGGGGTGTCACGGGCATGTCCGTTCGCCCCAGTTCCTTGGGCATACGACCCCTCTGCGGAACCGTTCACATCTCGCACGGAGTCCGAGGCAGTTGTTTCAACTGCATAAGCTCCTTGCGAGTCACGCACGCCACGACCGGACCGTGGCAAAAGGGTGCTGTCCAGGGCGTCCCCGGCTGAAGTATGAATGGGCTCTGCGCTGCTCTCCCACGCGCGAAGTTCATTCTCAGCATCCTCGATGACCTGTCTTGTGGCCGAAATCTGGTCATACTCCCGAGGGGAGTCCCCAGGGACGACGGGAGTGTCATCTAGATGGTTGAGCAACCGGCGTGCGTGACGGGCTAGCAGGATCTGCTTTTCTCCGCGCTCGATAACCGCCGCCAGGTGTATATCGTACGCCTCCTTGAACTTCGATCGAGTCTATACACCTCGCAGTCAATATTCTCTCAGCCTTTCCTTTGAAAGGAAGTTTCGGAAAACATACCACATTAGTCAACTGCGCCTCGGCCACCAGACTCTGCGCCTCGGCCCGGACGAGCTCCTGCTCCAGGATATCGATCCGGTTGCTCTGCGGCTCCTTCCACTTGAGCTTCTGGATCTCGTCGGCGATCTTGGCGCGCTGGTCGCGTGACGGTTGCACCGAGTTCTCGGTGTCCCGGATGTGCTTCAGGACCACGCGCGACTCCTCGAGGTACTGGGCGAAGTTGTCCTCCTGCTCGCCCATCTCCGCCATCAGGACGGCGAGCTTGTCCGTGATGTCCGAGACGGCGTCGTCCTCCGTCCACTCGCCCCAGTCGGACAGCTGGTTGGCGATGGAGACGCGCTCCCGGCCGGCCTTCTCGTGGGCGCCGATGGCCGCGTTCTCGTTCTTGATGAGCTGGTTGAGTCGCCGGCTGGTCTCGGGCTGCTGATGGCCGCGCAGGGTCGAGAAGCTGAACCGGGTCCGGTTGGGCGCGGAGTTCCTCCGGCCCCGGATGGACATGTTGCGGTGCCTGAGTGAGGTAGCGGTCAGCCGCGCGAAAAGTCTACATGCATCGAGAGTGCTCGAAGGGCTGGCTTGCGTACATGATTGCCATGATACTATTCAGTGTCGTTACTTGTCTTTTGGGGGACTATACAATAAGAGAAGAGATTGTACTGGAGAGCGTAGAGGTCGGATGCTTGGAAGCAGGAAACAGGAACGAAATGACGTTCGAGATAAGATCGCTCCTTCCCTGGACGTACAGATTTACTTGTTTGTTTGAAAGAGGTAGTAAGCACTCAATGTGAGCAAGGCAGTCAGTTGCAGATTGTTCGAGGTAGGTAGAGTAGAGTAGAGTAGAGTAGAGTAGAGTAGTATTGTGTCGAGATCTGAAACACGGGATTCAGATAGATAATGTCACAGATCGATCAGCGGTGGAGTTTTAAGACCGACGAACCTCGCCGGGGAAGTGGTTCATGCGGTGGCACATCTTGTGAGTGATGTGATGTGATTGTCTCGATGGCGTATGTACGAGAGTCCAATGCAGTGACGTCATGCGGGCATGGACGGATGCTGGAGGCTGTGAGCTGTTGAAGTCATTGTCCGCTTGCAGAATCTCTCGATCCCATGGGTGGGATGGAGTTTAATCTCCTTCGGTGATCGGGGCAGTGGAGTGAATCATGTGCTTGTAGAACTAAAGCTCAAACCGACTAAGTATACCATCAGACAAACAACAACAACAACAACAACAACAACCCCCAATGCGACACACAAACAACACCCCAGAGATAAGTACAACCCAAAGCAGAACCACAGCACGCATACACACCGTCTGGCCATATCCTCAGCAATCACAAAACACAGCGAGGCCCAAGCCCCCCCGATCTAACACCGAGCAGGAATATACTCCACCTCAACCTCGCATTCTCTCTCCCTCTCCACCTCCACCTCCCAAACCCGCCCACAACGCCCCCATCCACCCACAACAAGACACTCCTCCGGCTCCGCGATCTCAACACATTCCACCGCCCTCGCCCTCGCCGGGACACACCGGTACGCACAACGCACATCCACCCACGCCGGCCGCGGCCGTTCCACCCGAATGGGGATCAGGGATTCTTCGATGGTCTGGCACCGGGACCGGCTTCTGCGGACGGTCGTGTAGGAGGGAGCAGCAGGAGCGGCCGCAAGACGACGACGCCGCGGGGAGTAGCACCGCGGTGGGGGGCGGATGGGACTGCTGCTGCTGCTACTGTGTCCGTGACGAGAGTGGCTGCGGCTGCGGCTTCGGTAATCCCTGAAACAAACGCTGCAGGTCTCCTCGGTGCATTCCGTGAAGCACATCGCGTGTCGTGTTCGCGTTGCTGTATACGTATACGTATACCGTCGACTTGATTTTCGTATAGCGTATAGCGTATAGAAAGCGCACGGCGGCTAGGAATGAGGGTGTAGATCTAGATGTGGTAGCAAGAGCAAGAGCAAGAGCGGTAATATGAGGTTGTGCTTGCTCAGACTAGGCTGAGCCTTTAGAACTGGTGGATTTGCTCGACCTTATGCACCACTCCAACAGATCAGCCTCGGGACTCTTATACCCAGGCTTGGGCACAGGAATACCTAGTAACCTCAAATTTGGGGGACCTGGGTGTGTTTCAGATTTGGTGGCACAGCCCGCACGCTGAGGTGCAGTTTCCCTGGATATCATTTCTCTTAAAGACAGACCTAAACTTCTCAAAGATCGTTTGGAGGGGGTTTCCTGAGTGAGAGTTGGGACGTTTGGTGTGTTCTGCGTCCTCGGGGAACGGGGTCACTTGACCCGCGCATCTGCGGGTGATCGGGCCCGGTGATGGGGGAATGGGGTTCTCAACTTCTAGGCTTGAAGTTCAGGGGAGTAATATGATATTCAGAAGGGGTGTTCGTTCCCTTGACTTTGAGGTATGACTGACACGGAGAATCGAATTGAGGGTCAGTGGCTGGTGATGTGGCGATGTGACGGACTGGTCTGCTGTACCCTAATATTGGAGGCGTCGGTGTGCCTTGAGGTGGAAATAACTACCTCACCAGGAGTAGCACGAGGGCTGCTTTTCTACTCGACGAATCTCTGACAGTCTGCTGATGATGTGAGAATACGGAATGGCTGTTGAGGTGGGATATCATAGTAATACTATCCTGGGATACCAGAGACCAGTCTTAGTTTCTGTAGAGCACCGGGGAGATCATTTAGATCACGAATATGAAAAAGATTATAAGTAGATTTGAGAGCCTGTCACCTTATTGATTCGGATCCAGGAGACAACAGCAACGGCATATCCCTATCTCTACACCGGTCTCCACCTCGACCTATACCTGACAGCGCTTGGAAGGCCGGAAGATGACCACAAGAAACAAATTTAGCGCCAAACCAAGTGGTTAAATACCATACCAACAACACCGCACCGATTCATTACAAGACATCTAGAACAATCCCGAAACACCCAGGTCGGCAGCCGTCTCTCTTAGGACATGTCGTCGGCATCGTGATGGTGGGTATTTTCATTATCCGACGCATGGAAAGCGTCTCCGAAGGCGGAATTCTCCAGGTCGGGAAGATCAAGCCCATCATTCTGCTCGGTGTATGCGGCGAGTGCGTCGCCAGCGCTGTCCATGTTGGTAAAGTCGAAGTTGGCCCCGTCCAGACCATTGTCCCCGGAACTGCCTGCGTTGCCGGGGGTTAATCCTTGGAGGCCGCTGCCCGGAGTATCGACGCCAGGTAAAGAGCTTTCGCCAGGTACAGTCTGGTCCTTCTTCTCTTCGTTGACCATCACCCAGTCTCCAGTCTCCCCAGCGGCACTCGCAGGTTGCTGGTCGCCCATATCCATTTCGATGTCCAAAGAGGTGGAGGGGCCCTGCTGAGGGACGTGCGCTGCCGGTTGAGGCTGTTGTGGGACTGCCCCACCCGCTCCAGGTGCGCCGGCCGGGTTAGGAACATGTGTTGGCCCAGTCTGGCCGGCATCCTGGATTGTTGACGAGACACCTGGAGCTGTTCCTGGTGAGCCCAGCTGATCCAAAAAGTGACTGTCGGCATTTTCCATATCAATGTCCCCCTCAGGTTGAGACTCGGGCTTCTGCTCCGGTTCGATTTTCTCGAGCAGACCACCTTTCTGCACACAAGAGACTCGAGGCTCCGGCACAATCTGCCTGTGCCACACTTTCTCCACGTCCCGCACAATATCGTCAACTTTGTACTTGGCTGGGTTCTCAATGTGAGCCGCCTGCGAGTCATCCTCTTCCGAGGGAAGCACCAGGCGACCTTCCAATCTCCATGGCTCCGAGCCTGTCTCTGCGGGATCCGCTGCGGCTTCCCGGAGTCGGAGTTCTGCGTCCTTGAGGAGAGAGGTGCGGTTGAACTTCTCCATTCGACGTGCGTGGCGCTTTTTTAGCTTCTCAATCTCCGCCGTCATATCCGCGACCTTCTTAGCGACCCGATCAGCGAACTCCTCGGCCTTGGCGGGTTCCAACTTCTCAGCCTGCGAAGTGGCGGTGGCATCTTTTGTTTCTCCGTTGGTAGGTCCGACCGGTGCATCAAAGAAGCCGGCCGTCAATGATTCGAGTGCACCTTTCCGGCCTAGGCCCAGAGAGACGGGCGTGATCTGACTAATGGCATAAGGCGAAGCGAATATCTCCTCCATCCACTCATGATGTTGCGTGTAGCGCACTTTACTGATCTCGCGAGGTGTGAGGAGATCCATGATGTCCCCAGTCGAGACGTCTTCATCCTCCAGGGCAAAATCTGTGGTGGCAGCGTTCACCGCGGTGGAAGAAGCACGATGCCCGCGGGGGGCCTTGGCCGGCGGGGCAGCGGCGGGAGGCGGCACGCCTGGTCCGGGCGGAGGGTAGAATGGCTGACGTCCGACGATAGCACTCGGGTAAGCTCCAGGCACCTGCGGGAAGCCCTGGGGCGCCATGTGTGGGGGGAAGTTGATGGCGGGCCAGTTGTTCCGATCGTGCAGCATGAAGTCCTTGCGGGCAAGCTGGCCTTGGCTCTGCAAGAAGCGCCGCTGAGCTAGCATGTTCTGCACCTGAGGTATGACGGGAATCCGGCTTGCAGGAATGTGGTCTTGAGGAGGTGCTCTCGTGTAGTGGACGATCCACAAGGCGGGATCGGGGTTGGGCAGGTTGGGGTTGGGAACCTTCGGAGGCAGCAGACGATACCGGCGACGGCAATGCATCGCCATGGATTCGTTCGGAGGATGATATCCGCTACGGTGCAGCCACATCTCGACTGTCTGTTGTGTTCTTATGTTAGTGATCAATATGTCTGCGCGCAGAGCAGCTCTGGATGGGGAGTGATGTTGACGTACATAGCCACGAGCATCAAAGGTGAAGGCCTGTTCGACATCGGCCCAAACATATCCATCACTAGCGAAATTGGTTCCGAGTTGGTTGAGTGGCTGCCATGTAAGCATAACCGACCCATCTTGAGGCGCATCGAGGAAGGTCCAGTGCATTGGTTGCTGTTCGCGCACGACCTTGGCTGCGCCGAGCAGGTATTCGACAACAGTGTCTGTAGGCATCATATGCATCAATGGGTAGCGTTGCCGCGACACCAGATGCATGTGCGGCAGCTGGAGTGGTCAACATGATGTCGAGTTAGTGCTCAAGCTCCATACTGATTCACTTCATTCGAAGGATTAACTTAACGTACCAGCTGCGCGGGAACACGGGTCGCCGGGTCGTCCATGTTGACTGAGCAGCCTCGATGGCGGAGGATCGCAGGCACTAAGTCTGTCGCAAAATGATGGGAGTGGGGGGGTATTGAACAGTTCAGACACAGAAGATTGAGAAGCGAGAAGGCCTGTCAGCGATCACGCAGCGACGTATACTGAGCGAAGACACCGAATCCTTAACGCGACGCGGAAATTTGAGGTTCCTTAGCAATTCAGTTGGTTGCGGTACGGGAGTCCATAGAGTCCTCAAGCACACTCTGACGCCTGAATCCCCAGGCATTTAAGGTGGCACCCGATCAGGACTAGTGTCGGGGGTCGAAGCGCTTTTACTCTTTCCAGCTGGAGATCGTCTCATTCCCCGCAATGTGGACGGACTGCTTGAAGAAGGTTTCCTGATCTACATACAATCCATACATCCTCGACTCGCTTACCCACCCACCCCAATGACTCGCACGCGCTGGTCTTTGCTATCCCTTTTATGGGTACTTTGACAAACAAGTCTCTCTCAGTCTCCTGGCCAAACGTGCATCCATCACTGTATACTCGTTAATGCTGGGAGAGGCATGCATCAGAATGCGCAAGGGGGATAAAACAAATCAGACCGGGATATCCAGCCTCTTTCACCTCGGCTATCGTCCAATGCTATCACTCAGTCTCTGACCAAGCCTTGCGCCCGCTCGGATGGTTTCATCTCAAGCTTTGGCCCGCCACCCATGAACCGATGGGTTTGTCTCCGCATACTCCCCTAACCGGGTGTGCGAAAGCATGTCATCATATCCCCGAGGAGCGAGCCCCATGCGTCCATTATTCTGCCGGTTTCCTGCACATTCAGTATAGTGTATCTTTCACTCTCTCGGATGATTGGGTGTGAGCTCTGTCCCACGTATCACACACACAGCTCTCTTAGAAAGTGACCTCAATCGGCTCGGCATGACACTCCACTCATCGACTACACCCCCTCCCTCATGTTCTCAAATTTTCACGTCACCCCTCGCTAGCTCGACGTCTAAACTGTGTGGTCGGGAAAACCTCGCAGGTCAGGCTGGTAGCCCTTTGTCCAATCGTCTAAATCCGTGCCAAACCATAAACAGCGTGAAGGCTTTGGTGCGGACGCGTTCATAAGGCAGTGTGCTCCCCTCTCCACAACAGAGAAGTCACCATTACATCTCTGTTGCTGTAATCAAACTTCTGTCACTCCGCATCGCGACACTTCAAAGTCGACCATGGGGCTGTTCAGGAAGAAAGACACCCCTAGCAGTCCTGCTGAGGATGTCGACGCCATTGTCGAGGCTCCGAGTCACGATGCGGAGAAGCAGCCGCCCATGCACAAGGAAGAAGCGCACACCGCGCTCCCGCAGATGCCTCAAACTGCAACGTCGATAGATCTTGCATTGGAAGCTCGAGTGCTGAGAAAGTTGGACCTCAGAGTTCCGACCTTGCTAGGATTTCTTTGTATGCTGCGTCCTGCCTAATTCATCTCCTGCATGATTGCACATGATTCTTCAGATCAGTACACTCGATTCCATATCTGACTTGACGGCTTTGCACAGATCTCTTATCGCTGCTCGACAGGAGCAACATTGGGTAGGCTTGAATGCACAATATTCATTGACCTCCAATAGACTCCCGTTGAGCTAATGAACAAACAGGAATGCCAAAATTGCGGGAATGGAAGAAGATCTCAACCTCACGGGAAATCGATACTCATGGCTCTTGACAATCTTCTACATCTCGTATACTCTTTTTGAATTCCTGGCGCTGATGTGGAAGATAATGCCTCCGCACAGATGGGCAGCTATCACCGTCCTGAGTTGGTATGTTCAGACTCGACTTATACCTCCCTTGTTTTGAGTCGGAGCCTTATGCTGTATAGGGGTATTGTGGCAACTTGTCAGGCGGCAGTACAGAACTGGGGTGGGTTGATGGCCCTGCGGTTTCTGTTAGGCATGTCGGAAGCTGCCTTCGGCCCAGGAAGTCCGTATCTGCTGTCATTCTTTTATCGGCGCCATGAGTTAGGACTTCGATGCGGCATGTTTTTGTCGGCAGCCCCTTTGGCAAACACCTTTGCAGGCGCTCTCGCTTATGCTATCACCTCCGGCCATGCTAAGATAGCGAATTGGCGGCTGTTGTTCCTGGTGGAAGGGAGCCCGTCACTCTTGGCGGCCATTTTGGCTTGGTTTTACCTGCCAGATCACCCGTCGTCCGCACGTTTCCTGACCGAAGAAGAGAAAGAGATCACACGGGCCAGATCGCTTCGACGGAGTGGTGAGAGCGAGCGAGTTAGTGGGATCGACTGGAAAGAATTAGGCCATACTTTGCTGGATGCGAAGGCGTGGATCTTGGCAGTATGTTCCCAGACCAGCCGCCTTCGCCTGGGGTGTATGCTGACAACAATTTTAGTTCATGTACTTCAGCTGCAACGTGAGCTTCTCATCGCTGCCCGTTTTCTTGCCGACGATCCTGGAAGATATGGGGTTTACTTCCATCAACGCTCAGGGGCTGACGGCACCGCCATTTTTTGCGTCCTTCCTAGTCACGATCGCTACGACATGGGTTGCCGATCGGATTCAGCAGCGGGGTCTAGTGATTGCTTGTGCCTCTCTAGTCGGCGCTGTTGGCTATGTATTACTTGCGGCTTGCAACTCCGTTGGCGTTCGCTACCTTGGCGTGTTCCTTGCTGCTATCGGGGTGTTCCCGTCTATCGCCAACATTCTTCCCTGGGCTCTGAGTAGGTCAACTGCCCTAGCAAGTGATGATACACGCACTAATATGGCTTTTATAGACAACCAAGGCTCGGATAGCCGACGAGGCATGGGCATTGTCATTCTGAACGTCATCGGCCAGTGTGGTCCCTTTTTGGGGACCAATGTTTTCCCATCCAGCGATTCTCCTCGCTACACTCGCGGGTTGTCTATCTGCGCCGCGTTCATGTTTTTCAACACGATTCTTGCACTGTCTTTGCGAGTTCTCCTGGCCTGGGAGAATCGCCGTCTGGATCAGCGGTATGGCGCAGTGGCGGAATGGACAGCTGGGGCCAAGGATGATACGGCTGTGGGGGAGGAGAATTATGGGGCGGGCTTCCGATATGTGTTGTAGGTTGTGGTGTTTTTTAGCGTGTTTGGTCTATTGCTATTTGTTGCGATAATGAGGTCATGCTCTTTGGCGAACTAGAAGTATGCTGAGCCTAAATTGGAAAGCAATTGCATGGTGTTGAGATTATTGGTGAAACTGAATGTAGGGCATGTTTGCGGTGATCACCGGAAGGGTAGTAGCGTACTTCAAGGTTGTAGACTCCACCTCAGCGGGGATATATCTCGGCTACGTCAACCCAATCGTCAACACAACACCAGCATCTCGCAACCTCGCTTCTGTTACCTTTATTTTATTACCCCCCCTTGAAGCCTTACTGCTGATAGCATAGTCGACTACATTACCACCTTTTGCCCTGCGCTAGCAGCCTCACAACCAAGCTAGCCACACAAGCCCCAAAACCATGCGCCTAAGGTCTTGACCACCGCAGCACTTACCGTGTTGACCTCACTCACATTTGAGAACCTCATTCCACTCCGGTGCCCACTGAGCCCCAGAAACCGATCCCAGCATGACCGAACCAACAACCACGAACCCCAATCTCTACGGGATTGTGGATATGGGAAGGTGAGTCAGTCAGTCCCCCACACAACCCATCAACTACATAACACCCTCGAAACCCCCTCAAACCATTGGAAAAGCACTAAACCTCCCAAACCCACAGCAACGGCATCCGCTTCTCAATCACCGACCTCTCCCCCCCCACCGCCCGCCTCCTGCCCACCGTCTACCAATCCCGCGCCGCAATCTCTCTCTACGATGCCCAATTCTCCCCGCAGACAGAGACAGAAACGCGAACGCAAACGCAAACGCGGGGCCCGATCCCGGACACAACCATCGCCCAAGTCCTCGACCACCTGCGCCACTTCCAATCCACATGCAGCGACTTCGGGGTGAGGGCGACCAACATCCACGTGCTGGCGACGGAGGCGACGCGGACGGCGCCGAACGCGGCGGCGTTCTGTGGTGCGATCCGCGCGCACACCGGCTGGGAGGTGCGGATGCTGACCAAGGAGGAGGAAGGGCGGATTGGCGCGCTGGGGGTCGCGAGCTCTTCGGCGAGGGTGGCCGGGATCGCGATGGATTTGGGCGGCGGGAGTACCCAGATTACGTGGGTTGTGGAGGAGGAGGGTGGGGAGGTGCGGACGAGTCCTCGGGGCGCGTTCAGTTTTCCGTACGGCGCGGCGGCGTTGGGTCGGTTGCTTCGGGAGGCTGAGGCTGAGGCTGATTCCAAGTCGAGCGATGAAGGAACGACGGCGTTGGGGGCGCTCAAAGCCGAGATGACCCGCCAGTTCCAGACGGCGTATCGCGAGCTCGAGGTGCCGGATTCCCTCTTGCTCAGGACCTCCGGGGAAGGAGGAAGAGGAGGAGGAGGAGGAGGAGGAGGAGGAGCAGGCTGCCAACGCAGTCTATATCTCTGCGGCGGCGGGTTCCGCGGCTGGGGGTACGTGCTCATGAAGACGTACTCCGACCAACAGAGCGAGGGCGAGGGCGAGGCGTACCCGATCCCCATCATCAACGGGTTCCGGGTCCCGCGGGCGGAGTTCCACGACACCGCCGCGGTGCTGCAGGAAGTTGCAGACACCAACACCACTGCAACCACCACGACGACCAAAATCTACGGCGTGTCGCGGCGCCGCGCCGCGCAGATCCCCGCCGTCGCGTTTTTGGTGAACGTCATCATGGACGCGCTGCCCGCCGAGGCCATCACGCACGTCCAGTTCTGCCAGGGCGGCGTCCGCGAGGGCTTCCTGTACGACCGGCTCCCGCCGGCGGTGCGCGCCCAGGACCCCCTCCTCGCCGCGACGCGGCCGTATGCGCCGCCGTCGGCGGACGTGCTGCGCGATCTGCTGCGGGCGGCGCTGCCGGACACGCCGTCACCGTCACCGCGGGACGCGGACTCGTTCCATCTCCCCCGGTCATTCTGGGCGACGAATCTGCTGGCGGCGCTGGCGGATTTGCTGTTCGCGCACGCGAAGGTGCCCCGCGAGTCGCGCGCCGCCGCCGCGCTGCATAGCACCGCGACGGGCATCCTGGCGGCCACGAACTGTCTGTCGCATGTGGAGCGCGCGCTGATCGCGCTGATGCTCTGTGAGCGCTGGGACGGGGAGCTCGCCCCGGCCGATGAGGCGTACCAGCGGCAGCTGGTGCGGTGCGTGTCGCGCGAGGAGGCGTGGTGGTCTCGGTACCTGGGGCGCGTCGCGGCCTTGGTCGGGGATGTGTATCCTGCCGGCCGGGAGGAGGAGGGCCGTTGGAGGGTGCGGTTCGAGACGGAGTGGAGCGCGGTCGTGAAGAAACAGGGAAGGGAAGTGCGCGACGTGCTGCACCTGACGGTGCGGCGTGGGGACGCTGCCACCACATCCATGCTACAGGAGATACTGACGGACAGGGCGGACGGCTTGGAGAAGCTGGGCAAGAAGAAGAATTGGGTTCATGGGCGCGGGGTGAAGGTCAAGGTCACTGTCGTGTAGTATGGAGACTGGAAAGCGAGCTATGCGAAGTATGGTTCGACAGCCAACCAGCTACGAAGTTACATGTGCCCTGATCCACGTCTCTCTACAGGTTGGCGTGAGGCGCACCTCAGACCTCTCGCAGACAGTGTGATAGACGAATCTCCCCAGAGTTTGCCAACTGGAGTATCAAATTGCGTAGCTCACAAGGACCCTTGACCATAGCCAGCGAAATGGAGCCTGATTCGCCACTGGCCTTGGACTCAGACCCCCGGCCTTGAAATGCAGGAAAACAGGATGAAACCCGATCCATCTACGAGAGATCGCAGCACGCAGATTGCAACCGTCGATTATGCATGCATGCATGCAAAGTGCCCAGCAAGAGCAAAAAACCAGCAATAAGAGGGACTTGAAAATAGTGATGGTATTGCATCGCCAGATGTAAAAAAGTCCGATTACTCGTCCTTTCTTGCTATCAAGTAAGAAAAAAAACAAGACACTTCCATTTCACTCGCCTTCCCCCACGTGAAGAAATCCGTAATCCGCGAAATTCCGTCGTAAGTTGGGGAGGAACCGTGCTTTGATTTTTCCTGATCGAAAAGGAGTGGTAGCCTTCCGATCGCAAATAGCCGCATCACCAGATCCTCAAGCCTCTTCCATCCACGCCACCTTCAAAACCCGGGGAATCGTCGTTGCTCAAAAAGTCATCGAGTTCTTCTTCTTGTATCAAATTAATCGAAGAGGATTTTTGTTCGTGAAGATGCTTCCGTTTAAGCGGTGGGGTTGGCGTTCATCTGTATTGAGGGGGTTGTGTAAGCCCTTCCGTTTGTAATCACAGCACACAGCACTTTTCCAGACGTATTCATCGAGACTGCCGTGTCCCTCCCATTTCTTCCTTTGTATCCCATGCTGATCTTGGTGGATTTTTTCATACCTTGCGCTTGCCACCGGTGAGGGTGACGTTGACGAAACGGCGGGTGTAGACGACACGCTTGTAGGCACGGCCCTTGGGCTGCTTGGCCTTCTCCTGCTTCTCGACCTTGGGAGTGGCGGCCTTGACCTTACCGGCACGAGCGAGCTGTAGTCGAGAAAAAAAAGGGTCAGATATTTTTCATTCTTTTGATGCTGGTCATAGTAGCTTTTCGACTTTTCGATGGTCGTTGTGTCCGGTCGTCGATGAGGCGAACGTGATGGAGAGGAGAGAGGGGAGCGCTTACAGATCCGTGAACCTATTTTCATCCAGATGTTAGTCTTTTCTGTTTCTCATCCTGACCATGTTTTTCGAGGGGCATCTCTGTTGATAACTTACCTTACCCATTTTGGCGTTATGTGATGATCTTCAAGAACAACGAAAAAGGGATCCTGTCGAGATTTGTCGTACGGGGCGGGAAGTGCGAGGGCGATTTGGGGGAGGGGGAATTTTGGCGGTTTCGTCGACGGGATTGCAAGTCACGCGTTTGTGCGGCGGTTCAACTTTGCCCCACCCCGGTTTCGGTTAGCCCCGTTACATAAGGGTGGATGACTCATGTGTGTGCATTATCTGGGTTATGCTGGGCTGTGCTATGTATTCTAGACTTTGAGTAGTTAGTTAAATATTGCAGGTGGTATCCGAATATCACCATAATGAGGCTACTCAAGAAGACGGCAGAGTAATGGATTCAATAGATGGTAGGATATAATTTGAAACGACGCATCTTGATGAAGCTATTCTCAACAATCCTCATAGTTACTGAGTACATGAGGTTGGTGAAGGAAGAATGAAGCAAGCGGGGGGAAGAACTTGAAGGGTCCCGAGTCACCACCGCCGCCCTGCCCAATGTGGAAGGCAGTTCCCTATACTATCTTACTGAGTAGGTCCTGGCATGTCGCCTCAGTAGGTACCGTACTACTAAGTCACAGTATGGCTCTATCTCGATCACTCTCTGGGGGCTCATCTATCGTTAACCTCCCTCTTCCTTCATGAGACTGGCTCAGCTATCCCCAGGCAAGCCTCCGCATGCATCCTGCAAAGAGACCACTGATATGGAGGAAGCACGGTCTCTACACGTGACAGACTTGATTGTATAACGGTCTGGCGCTTTGCAGCTGGAGCATATAGTGTACCATACGAATACGAAAGAGATAACCTCCCATGTCGATACTACTCCTCGCCCGCTCCGCCCAGCAGAGAGCGAATGAAGGCGAAGGCTAACGTGACCTCGAATGCAACCGAGCGCCATGTTTCGAGCCCGAGCGCCTTCTTCCATGTCCATGAGCATGCCTGTGTCGGCGCTCATGCCCATGCGCATGCCCCAGCCCAGCATCACCAGCACCAGCACCGACTTCACCCACTCCCCTAGTCAAAATCCCAACGAAAACCAAAACAATCGCCGCGAGCAACTCGGGAAGAAACCCCAACACAACACGAACCGCCAAACTCCCTGTCGTCGGATTTAGGTCCGCGCGCTGGGTGATCTGCGCGACAAGTATGTAGATCACTGATATCTCGACGAGTGGAAGGGCGAGGAGGGTGCCGGTTAGGAGCTGTGCATTGCCTCGAGGCGTCTTTGTGTTAGCACATGAACCATGCCTCTCCGTATGTATCCGAAACCAGATACTATCAACGATCTGGAAAAAAAAAGGCAGGGGATGAACGCACCAACCACCCCTCCCTCCCGATCAAGCCCGCTGGTGCACCCCTCCCATCGCAACGAGTCCACAGTCCCCACAAAGCGAGCACCCCCCACGCAACCTCCAACAGCACCATGCCGACCTTGATATTGGATAAATCATTGGGCTTAGGCGTATCGCCCAGAAGCCCGCCTGCACCAGCCCCAACCATTGCCACCCCCGTCGCCACGAGGACATGGATGAGCGCCATGAACGTCCATTCGGTTCGCTTGTTTGGGGATAAACAGTAGATTCTCCTGGATCACAATGGGAACATATGAGATATAGTGCACTTGCTCTTGCTAAGGGGAAAGCTTACGCCTCATGCAACACCCCGTCTATTGAAAGCAGCAGCGGTGAGAGCCCAATACTGGATATAATCTGGGCGCCGGTGTTATGCGGGTTGTGGAGGCCCATGACGGCCCCGGTCACGCGAAGAACGCAGAAGGCGAGGAGGTAGAGCCAGGCGAGGAGGCCGTGGCGGCCATGGCTGAAGACGAGGTAGAGGGTTGGAAGTGTGAGGGGGGCGTAGAGGGCGAGTTGCGAGACGAGGAGTCCGGACGTCATGTTCAGTCACTCAGTGTACAGACTGGGAGAGACGGGGGGGAGGTTTGAGTAGAAAGGTACAAGATACTATATCTATACGCATTCTAGGCAACAAATCTCGGGCATATAGTTAAGACGCAAGGCCGAGATGCAGGCCCGGACGCTACTAAACGAGACCGAGAATCCTTGTCTATTAGAGCCAATCATCTGCGAGGCCCCATGCAATATGATTCTCAAGGCTAGGTATGCCTCTGTGCTTGTGGAGACGTCGCCGGGGTAGTTAAGCGCGATGCCCCAGGAGCCTTCGGCGTTTTGCTGCGAGAGCAGCCATTGGCGGTATTGGCTGCCTTCGTCGGGGTCGATTTGTTGGTAGAGCACATATATACAGAAAATGTGTTCGCAGGTCACGGTCACATTAGACTCGAGCTCGCCGCACCAGTGGCGGTTGGAGAAGATCTCCCAGGCGGAATAGCGGCTTGTGTTTGCTGTGGTGCACAAGATATAGTCATTTCGACTGGCCAGGACATTAGGCGTTGCCAGTGAGCAGGAAGGGTTGGTTGAAGAGCCATGATGTATTTGTGTGCAGCGTCTCCGATCCACCATATGTCGCGTAATGGTGCCGACAAGGCGAGAAAGTAGGCTAGAACCACCAAAGCACGAGGTCTCCTCTTCTCGAGGAGGTCCATGAATTCGGTCATCACAAACAACGGGAAGACCATGATCCGGCGACAGGTGACTTGCGGATCTTCCTTTGCTTCCATGGCCAGCCAGGTGGCGTTGATATGCGCGACGGCCCCTCGATATGCTTCTAGCGCTGTATCGTTGTCCTCGTCATCGGGCGCAGTCGGAAGCAGGAAGGAAAACGCCCCAGCATCAGAATTCGTCCGCAAGGGAATAGGAAAGGTATCAATAATACACCAGATACTCGCGGGATGAGTATTATGCCTCGCAATCTTCAAGGCCGCGTCAAAGACGGCGACCGACCCGCGCAATAGACGCATCCATTCACTGACGTGCTCGGAAGAAACAACAGTATGATTCTGTAAGGTAGCAAATACGTCGACCTGTAACAGGATGCTTGTAAAGCACACCGCATCCGCGGTCTGCGTAGTTATGCCGCCGATACAGAGTCGATGTTCGCGCAAAGCCTGCTCGAGAAAGTTGCAGTGGATATCTGGCAGGCCAGCTTCGTTTGGGTTGGCTTTGGACAGATGCAGGGCCGAGATTGCGAATACGGCGTGCAGGAGCGGTTTGTAACCGAATGCGAGTCGGGGTACGTCGATCGACCAACAGTCTTTGACACGCTTCGATTGGGCCCCGGGCATAGTAGCGCTGGCGAAAAGGGTAAAGTGATGCAGCAAGCGCAGCTCTATGTTACTGGGATCCGATGGACTGGGCTCGAGTGAGCGAGATCGGATCTCCTCCGCGGGCCTGTCATAGACACAGGGGATGCTATGACGATGGCAGTCGCGACACACAGGTCGCGCTTCATCACACTATCACCCTAAATTAGTCAGGACACATGTTGTGGCCAGTGGTAACTTGAAATTAATTCCACCTACCTTTACTCGTCGGGCGCGACATCGCTGACATCCGGTCCTGGACTTGCGGTGGGCGAGACGGGGACCCTTGCGCTTTTTGCGGTTGGACGAGTCCTTTTCGCTTTGACTGTGGCCTCGTGGCGAAGAGGACGGGTTACTTTCTGGGATGGCCGAGGAGGTCATCTTGCTTCGGTCCCACTTATCATGGCGATAGGTTCCAAAGCAGCGATGACTTATCCCGGGGTCTTTCGGATTCAGTAAAGAGGAGCGAAGCCTTCCTCAGTTGGTCGACCTATAACTATTTACCTCAATGATATTAAGACGGGCCAGGGAGAAGGGACTAGAAGCGGCAGATCAGTCGCCCGGATGTTGAGGATCCTCTTGAAGTAGGCAATCATAGACACCACCTGGCAGGTGTAGGCCGCGAGTTATTGGATTTAAAGAAGGTTCCTAGTCTAGGAGATAAACGCGGGCCGCTCTCACTAAAGACTCCCGGTCTTGTACTCCGTATACTGTAAAACCTTAGGTCACCTAACTATGAGTAGGTCTGAATAATTAATTAAGAAAGATTTGGGGCACGCTTCTCCCGACTGAGGCCTCCCATTATACATAGAAGCTAGGGAGACCATAACTCAAGTATACCACTACACCAGCCCTGAGGTGAACAGAGATCATGTGACTATACTCTGACCCCCGCGGACTACAGTACTCCCTCGGAGCTCATAGTTGCCTGCCATGACAATGTAGAGCATATCATAGGCTACTAGTATTCGAAAGTCATCATGATCGTCGTATTAATTGACTCACCCAGTCAGTCATATACTTTACTCCTTGGGTTCACCGGTCTACCGGTCTAAACAACTGCGGGCAGAATCGGAGGGACAGGAAGTTAAATGATCGTCGAGGAGGAGAAGGAGGAGGAGCATGTCATGGTCATTACGTCTTCTGGCCTGCCTGCAGTGTCTATTTAAGCTGCCCCTCCTTCCCTCCTCTCAACCCCGCTTCTTTTCGTCTCTTCCTCTTCTCCCCAACACAATCACTCGTCCTGTCTTCATCCACCTTCATCCATCTTCGACAGATACTACCACTATCTCCAGAAGTCGTGATCCCTTTCATTCAATTGACTCTCCCCCAGTCATGGGAAGAGCTTCAACTAACCTATCTACAGGAACTCAATTCGTCCAATGTAAACACCACCTACCATGGCCCCTCGCGGGTCTTGACGGTGGAAGTCATGCAATGCCTTGAAGCTGGGCAACTCATTGATCAGGTACCTCAAGTAACTTTGGCCATGGACCGGTGTTCGTTCCTATCTGCCAGCGTAATTTGCGCTGGTGGCTCTGGGTTCGTTCTGAGATTATACGGTTAAACTTGATCTGGATAATACCAGCGAAAGGATCATGCCTTCCCTCGTGCCCCCTTCATTGATGGAATAGCTAACAATCCTCAGTCATTACCGTGACTTGATCCCTCACTTGAACAACCCCCCAAAGAACATCATGTCTCCCCCAGCTGCCTTGCTCGAGTCCCCCGTGGCCCCTACCGCCGGTCTCAAGGGAAAGGTCATTGTTCCTGAGATTGCTCCCATGATGGGAGGAGACTCGCAGACCAAGCTGCTCGACCACTTCGGCGGCAAGTGGGATGACTTCAAGTTCGAACCGATCCGTGAGAGTCAGGTGTCTCGCGCCATGACCCGACGCTACTTCCAGGATCTGGACAAGTATGCCGAGAGTGACATTGTCATTGTCGGCGCTGGCTCCTGTGGTCTGAGCACCGCGTACGTGCTGGCGAACGCGCGCCCTGATTTGAAGATTGCCATCATCGAGGCCAATGTTTCTCCTGGTTCGTACAACTGTATAATTAGCAGCATTACAACACCGACTAACCACGTACCATAGGTGGTGGTGCTTGGCTGGGTGGCCAGCTCTTCTCTGCGATGGTCATGCGTCGGCCCGCGGAGGTCTTTTTGAATGCACTGGGCGTGCCTTACGAGGAAGACCCATCGAACCCCAGCTACGTCGTCGTGAAACATGCGTCCTTGTTCACCTCGACCTTGCTGTCCAAGGTCCTCTCCTTCCCCAACGTCAAGCTCTTCAATGCCACCAGCGTGGAGGACTTGGTGACTCGTCCCTCCCCCAACGGAGATCCCAAGGAGACCCGCATTGCGGGTGTGGTCACCAACTGGACGTTGGTGACTCTGCACCACGATGACCACTCCTGCATGGACCCCAACACCATCAACGCGCCTCTCGTGATCAGCACCACTGGACACGACGGCCCGTTCGGAGCCTTCTCGGCCAAGCGCCTGGTCTCGATGGCGACCGTTGACAAGCTGGGCGGCATGCGGGGTCTGGACATGAACTCCGCCGAGGATGCGATCGTCAAGAACACTCGTGAGGTCACCAAGGGTCTGATCATCGGCGGCATGGAGCTGTCGGAGATCGACGGCTTCAACCGCATGGGCCCGACCTTTGGTGCGATGGTGCTCAGCGGTGTCAAGGCGGCCGAGGAGGCCCTCAAGGTTTTTGATGAGCGCCAGCGTGAGTGTGCCGAGTAAGATGATCGTATTGTCGAGCTGCCACTCTACGCATGAGATGTTGGCGAAGCTGCCGGTGGTTTTCTTTCGGAATGTCCGATGACTTTTGTTTCGTTATCAAGAAATGTCCACAAATTGAAACGAATGCGCTTGATAGCCAAATATGAACACTCGTTTATGACTAGAAAGTTGAATCCGTGGTGTATCCATAAATGTAGAAAACATGCCAGTAAATTTCGAGAGCCTTTTCTTCATCACCGACACCTTCCATTGCCTCTGATATAGAGGTAAAATACGTATGATTAAATTCTGTAACCATCAACATCATCGCTATACAACCCACCCAACCGACCGCCAAGACGCGGGAGAATCTGACGTCGGCGGGTGCGTATCGCATCCCCGATCTGGACCACTTCTTCTCCGCCGCAGGCAATTTACCCACTGCATCAACTTTCTCCCTCACTTTCCCCCCCTCTGCTTACAGCCCAAACGAAAACCCTCCAAAACAATGCAATACCCCTAATACATCCACAAACCCCGCCTCACCGACAAACGAACCTACACCCAACCATCGCGCAAAAACCAACATGAACAACGACCAATTCCGCCGCCTCGTCCTCGACACCCCGACCAGCAGCAGCAGCAGCAGCAACACTAACAAAAATGCGCGCACCACCACCAACCCAGGTGCAACATCCCCACCCTCCGCCGCCGCAGCCGCGCTGGGCTCGCGCCTACGCTCGAGCATCCCCATGACGCCGTACGTATGCCCCCCACAAACTGTCCTGGAAGGTTCTATGGCGGGAAAATTGCTAATTGCTTTCTGGGTGTACACAGCCGCGCACTCAACACCACGAAATCATCCCTGCACAACGAGTTCGCGCGCCAACTCGCCGATCATCGCCGGGAGCAGATGGGCGGCGCCGGCGCCGGCGGTCCTCCGGCGAAACGGTTCAAGTCGTCGGCTGCGCCGAAGGGGACGAGGTTGCCGGAGGGGTATCGGGATCGCGCGGCTTTGTTGAGGGGGGTGGAGCAGCAGGGGGAGAAGGATGGGGATGGGGATGGGGGTAAGGCTGATGGAGACGGGGGGGATGGTGATGAGTTGGAGAAGCGCGTGAAGGCGTTGGAGGAGATGGTGAAGTTGGGGCAGATTGATCAGGGGACCTTTGAGGGGTTGATGAGGGATATGGGTGTTGGTGGGCATTTGGGGAGTACGCATATGGTTAAGGGGTTGGATTGGGAGTTGTTGAAGAGGGTGAGGTCCGGGGAGGATGTTACGGGGCCCAAGGGGGGCGATAGTCGGAGTGTTGAGGCTGAGAAGGTGGGGGATGTGGATGATGAGTTGGATCAGGTGCTTGGCGAGGAGGAAGCCGGGGTCGATGGGTTGCCTTCTGCTCCCAAGGAACAGAAGGTCAAGAAGAAGGGGATTAAGGCGCCTCCGCCGCCTCCGCCTAGACTGGAGCAGGTGGAGGCTGGGGTGCCCAGGTCCAGGGATGAGATTTTGAGGCAGTTGAAGGCTAGTCGTGCTGCTGCTGCTGCTGCTGCTGCGGAGGCTGAAGCTGAGATGGAGGAGCAGCGGCCGGTTGAGCCCGCGCTGGGGGATAGATTCAAGAGGATCGGGAGTGAGTCGAAGGTCGAGAAGAAGCGGTGGATCGAGCAGGATGAGACTGGTCGCCGGAAAGAGATCCTCCAGATCACGGATGCGCAGGGCAAGGTCAAGCGCAAGGTGCGATGGCTGGATAAGCCGGGCGAGGCGCCGGCGCCTGCTCCTGCCGCTAAACCGCTGGGCATGGACGTTCCGCCTGAGTTCGCGGCCAAGGCGGCGCCGACCCCGGCGGAGGAGGAAGACGACGACGATATCTTTGCTGGAGTGGGAGCGGACTACAACCCGTTGGCAGACTTGGGAGACGAGGACGATTCATCGTCAGAGGAGGAAAGTGAAGACGGCGAGGTCGCTCAGAAGAAGTCGGTGGCTACAGACACTGCTCCAGCGGAGGCTACTGTGGATACAGAGAAGAAACCTGTCGAGGACACGACAGGCCGGCCACGCAACTACTTCGCTACATCGACGACGGAAGAAGTCCCCGAGATCAATCGCTCCAATCCCCTGGCTAAGGATGCTACGCTACTGGCCGCTCTCAAACGGGCGGCGGCCTTGCGCCAATCCGAGGAGGCTGCTGGGGAGGGAGAGGAGGATGTCGACGCGGAAACAGCCTTGCGACGCAAGAAGTTCCTGGAGGAGGCGCGACGGCGTGAGGCGTTGGATGCGATGGATATGGACATGGGCTTTGGAGGCAGTCGGGTGGGCGATGAAGAGGACGACGAAGAGGTCGTGCTTGAGGGCGAGGGCCGGGGTGGGAAGAAGAGGAAACGAGGGCCGAAGAAGAAAAAGGGCGATAAGAACAGCGCGTCAGATGTGTTGCGTGTTATGGAAGGTCGGAAGCAGGGTCAGTGAATGTATGCAGTGGTAAAAGTATGATGGGACTGGTGGTTGGTGAATCTCAGTGAATCTCAGTGAATCTTGTGTTATGATACCAGTGAATGGAAATGAATTCCAGGCACCTTCCAGGAAATCTTTGGCTATAAATCCCCCCTCATCTCTCCTTCCTCTTCTTCCTTCTCTCTCTCTCTCTCTCTCTCTCTCTCTTCTCCTTCCTCCTCTTTCCCCAGACTCTTCCTTCTTCCCATCTTCTCTCTTCCCATCTTCCTTCTTCCCTCATCCTCATCTCCATCCATCTTCATCATCCCCTCAGCCTGACTATCTTCCTGTATACCAACCTGTCTATGTAAAGAAGCCGTCAAGATGAACACATCATGATCAGCTTCCTCAGTTTCCATCAGATTCCGTGCCTCGGCGCGGAATCTTCTTCTCTTCGTTCCTCCTCCCACCTTCTCCTCTCTCCATCTCTTCTCATCAACAACACCACCACCACCACCACCACACGTTCCTCTGAGAAGACAACATCCTCAGACCTTCAGACCAGAATCAACAGGTAAGAACCCGAAGCTATCTACCCCAAAACAGCCCAACTCCTACTCCTTTCTTCACCCCCATCCCCCTTTCTTCCCGTCGAACCTCCTCTGGGGCCAGGACGGTGGCCTGCCGCGCCTCAGGAAAAGTATGATTTCCCTGTCTCTCTTTCCAAACATTCCTCCATCCTTTTCTTCAGAATCTCGCAGTTTGTCTTCCAGTTTGGGTCTGGGCTTTGCTACTACCGAGGGGCCCCTCGGTGCAGCATGAGCTACAGAAACACTGGGGCATCTCTTGTGAAACACCGGAAGGAGGACAGGAAACACACTGGAAAGACTGAGGCACATTTCAAATCTCGATCCTTAATCCTGAGGACGGTAAGGTGTACCCGAGCAAATGGTATTCTTCTCACTTTCCAAAGTGGTTGAACTGGACAAAACCCCGGACTTGATCAGAAGGAGTCATCGCCCTTCTCGTATCTGTTGTGAAGTCTCCGTGGGCGAACGCCGATCCACAGCGGGAGTAGTAGGCTTTGATCAAGGACGGTCCCGTGGAAGGTTGGTGTGATCCAAGGGGATGCCGCTTGTTTTCTCCTCGAAGTTAAACAGCCGCTGTGGTTGCACTTTGGGCTATGGATCCGGAGGGTCTTACTCAGTGGCGTTTGTCGCTGAATGATGTGTTCTTATTTTTAGGTTCCATGCGATGCGATGCGATGATTTCGACGTCGACGACGACGACGACAACGAGGATGACAACAACAACAACAACGACAACGACAACGACGACGAGGAAGGTGAGGGTGGGACCATGGATAGTATGGGGCATGAGAGATCATGTATATAGAGCATATAGATCGTGGTGTCGGTGTGCATATCGATATAGCATCAACTCCTGCTTTCATCCTGATCTGATTCTTCGCAACGAATTATTCCTTTCAGTAAACTCTTTGTAAGCATATCATGCATGCAAAAACTTGATCAGCTCATCAATCTCAGCCTAGTAAACATTAACTTATATACAAAGACCACACATATTATACACACAATCATACAAGAAAGCTCATCCCATCCTCTTCGACGTCCCAGCAGCAGCAGCCGCCTCGGCGATCTGCTTCGCGTTCCGAACCTCCCACTCAAACTCCTTCAGCGCGCGCAGTTCGCTGGACATAAATAACCCTCCAATCAATCCATCCAGGATTCCCGCGCCAAAGTTCAACGTGCTCACGAAGAGCAGGATGAAGGCCACATATGGCAGGTGGTCGCCGGTCCACCAAACGCCCACCATACAGCCGATCGACACAAACACGGAGGCGACAAAGTGTGCGAGTCGCCAGCGTCGCTGCGAGCGTTCCCGCTGGACATACTTGTCGATCATCTCGATGATGCGGTCATAGGTCTCTGGCTCGAGCGTGGTGTTGGGAGCGAGTGACGAGCCATCAGCAGCCGTAGCAGCGGCAGCAGCGCTACTCCCTTCAGCCTCCAGCTTAGCAGACTGGTCTTGCGCCTCCTCGCGCGTGATGACCGCCTCCACGGCGAAGTGATCGCTCAGCGAGCATCGCAGCGTCGGATGGCGCTCCATCATACTCAACTGGACCGACTTGACGGTCCATTGTGGGACTGACGGAGACCGCAACCCACCACCACTACCACCACCACTTCCATCTCCAACAAAGATATAATCGAGCCGCTTGCCGCGCGGACACGGGGCCTCGGGATCGACCTCGATCTCCTCACCCTTCTTGAGCAACCGCTTCTGATCCTCCTTACTCCAGCGCCAGGTATTGAACCGTCCATCGCAGGTAGCCCCATTCTCTGTGACATTGAACCGCGCCGAGGGGACGGGCTTCCCGCGCGCCTGCTCGACGGGGTCGATGGCGGCGCCCAGGGAGGAATCCGGATGCAGGACCTGCCAGACGTCGCGGACGGGGCTGTGGGCCTGGATGAGCCGGTGCGCGAACGACGAGGGCAGCATGTTGAAGTCGCCCAGGCCGATGACGAGGTGGCCGCGCTCGGCGGCGCCGCGCATCAGCTTGGCGATCTCCCACGCCTGCGCCGTCCGGTGGCAGATGTACGAGTCGTTGGGCTCGCGCTCGTACGGCGCGTGCAGGTGCGTGCAGAACACCTCGGCCACTTCCTGGGGCGCGGCCCCAACCCGCACGCGCGCGCACGCCACCCCTTTCCCCACGTACCAGTCCCCGCGGAAGAAGGCCGTCGGCCGCCCGTTCAGCGGGTACCCCACCATGCTGCTCTCCTCGATCGGCCACCGCGACAGGATCGCCAGCCCCGCGCCCCAGATCCCCCCGTGGTAGAACTTGCCGTGCGGCAGGATGTGGCGCGTCTGCTGCCGGATGCTCTCGTAGTCCGCCTGCGTCCAGCATTCTTGCAGCCCGACGATCTCGGGCGGTGGGGTAGCGATGGCCAGCCGTCGGCCGATCTCGGTGAGGCGCTCATGCCGCAGTTTGGCGATGTACTTGAGGCCCCAGCAGTTCAGGGTGAGGATGCGGATGGAGGTGGGAGAGGACGAGGGGGGATTGGTGGTTGCGGTGGTTGCGGTGGTTGCGGTGGAGGGAGGGGAGGGTTGTTGTTGTGGTTGTTGTGGTTTTTCGGAGAGCGTATCGGCCATTGTGAAGGGGTTTTAGGTCAGTGCAATTGTCATTATGAGCTTACTGGATAAGTTGCATGGAGAGATTGCGTGTGAGTGTCCAGACAGAAAAGAGACAACAAGCAACAAGCAACAAGCAACACCTATGGAAGTACTCCGTACTCCGTATGGCCTCCGCAATGATTTCATCATTTTCCGGGCGGACTCACCGCCCGGCCTCGACCCGCCCGGCTTCGCGCCGACCGCCTTCCCAAAACCCGCGCGATCGTCACGAGGGATGGGCGAAATCCCAATGAAAGAAATCCGAGAATCGCGCAAAAGATTCCCCAGAAAAAAACAACATTGCTTCCTTTTTCTTCTTTCTTTCTTTTGGTCGTGTGCTCCTCTCTCTTTTCCGTTTTTTCCCCTTCCTTTCAATCATCTTTTTCGCCGTTTGGGTAAATCTCCACTCGATAACTACTTACCTATCCTTCCGACCCAAAAAAAGCATTGAAGAATACCTACCTACCTTACCTCCCAAACTCATGACCCTGACCCAGCCACAACCACAGCCATCATCCCCTTATCACCGCAATCCAATCCCTTTCCCTTGAGCCCAGTTAAACCACTTGAAACCAATCTCCATCGCATCCCCTTCAATCCTCACAATAGGGCATCCATCATCCATCATCCAGCATGGACGGACCATCCTCCACCCACCACCGCCCCAAGCGCCGTCGCCTGGACACGCCGGATAAACATGCCCAACAACACCAGCACCAGCACAACCACCTCTCGCACAAGAAAAACACCACCACGCCACTGAGCGCCAGCACAAAGCACAACGGCTACGCCCACCCCCACCCCCACAAACTCCAATCCCCGGTCCCACCACCACCACCAGCCGCAAGGCGAACCTCCAAAAACGACGACAACGACGACGATGAAGACGTCTCCGATTCCTCGGACGAACTGGCCGCGGGCTCCGAGCACGACGAGGCCGAGGAACGCCGCCGCCGCGCCAGCTGGAGTCTCCAGAAACAGAAAAATGTGTATACGCCGCAGAGGCCGTATCGTCCGCCGCTGAGGCGGAGTTCGAGTGGCTCCGAGAGTCCGGATGAGTTGACGATTGATGCGGAGGAGTATTGGCGGTCGACGAAGAAGCGGGGGTCGATTGGGGTTGTGGGGGGCGCGGTTGGGCAGGGGGCGCAGGGGAGGGGGAGTGGGAGCGGGAGTGGGAGGAGGTCGGTGGGGGGCGGAGCTGCGGGCGCGACGGCTGTGGCGGTCGCGGTGGATGTTCCTAGGGGGACGGGGAAGGGGAGGAGGTCTTTGTCTGGGTTACGGGGGGAGGTTAAGGTTGAGGATGAGGTGGAGGTGGAGGGGTCTGAGGAGGAGGATGAGGAGGGGGAGGGGGAGGTAGAGGGGGAGGATGAAGATGGGGATGTGGAGGAGGAGGAGGAGGATGTGGATGTGGAGGTTGATGTGGAGGTTGATGAGGGTGAGGGTGAGGGTGAAGGTGAGGGGGGTGCTGATGCCGATGCTGCTGCGCCGGATGGGGATGAAGTTGAGACTGAAAATGCGGAGGTGGAGGTGGCCGTGGAGGTTCAGGTCGAGGAGCGGAATCTGGAGAATTCAGATGGCAAGGATCAGGATCAGGATCAGGCTCAGGCTCAGGATCAAGCCCAGGATCAGGCCCAGGATCAGGCTCAAGCTCAGCCTCAGCCTCAGCCTCAGCCTCAGCCTCATGATCAGGGTCAGGGGGTACAAGACGAAAAAGAAGATGTGGATGAAGGAGAGGAAATGAAGGTGGACGAATTCGATCAAAATCTCAATGTCGCTACGGCCCCCTCCACCGCCGCAGAAGCCGCCGCCGATGCTCCTCCGCTCGAAGAAGAACAAGATGCACCTGAAGACGACGAAAAAGTGTCTCGCGACAGCATCAATCACGACAACAACGATGACGAGAACGCGCGTGAGGACGAACCCCCCCACGACAACTACCCCGGAGACAATGAAGACGAGGAGATGGTCAACGCCGATGATGGCCTTGATGTCGACGAACCGGAACCCACCACGAATGGCGACCTTGTGGAAGAAACCCCAGAATCGTACCCCGACCGGTCGCCTACGCCCGTCTCCCAACCGCCGCTACCGCCACCGAAACCGGATAAGGTGGAATATCGTGCGAAGTTCCTACTTCGCGGTCATCTGCGGGGAGTGTCCGCCGTGCGGTTCTCGCCAGATGCGTCGATGATCGCGAGTGGAGGTGAGATTTGTCTTTTCGTGAGATATTCCATGGGAGGCTAGACTAACCATGTCTGTGATGTAGGGGCGGACGGGGCTGTCAAAGTGTGGGACACCGTGACCGGGAAATTGATCCATTCGTTCGAGGGCCATTTGGCGGGTATCTCTACGATCTCGTGGAGCCCGGATGGGGCGACCATCGCATCTGGATCGGACGACAAGACGATCCGACTGTGGAACGTCCTGACGGTATGGAAGACACTACGATCCAGCGCCGGCTGTCATTGAGGCTAATCACTCTACGTGCTTTAGGGCAAGGCGCATCCGATCCCGTTCGTCGGTCACCACAACTACGTCTACCAGATCGCATTCTCCCCGAAAGGCAACATGCTCGTCAGCGGATCCTACGATGAGGCGGTCTTCCTGTGGGACGTGCGGTCGGCGCAGGTGATGCGGTCCCTGCCGGCGCATTCGGACCCGGTGGGCGGCATCGACGTGGTCTGGGACGGGACGCTGATCGCCTCGTGCGCGACGGACGGGCTGATCCGCATCTGGGATACGGCGTCGGGCCAGTGTCTGCGCACGCTGGTGCACGAGGACAACCCGCCCGTCACGGCGGTCAAGTTCTCCCCGAACGGGAAGTACGTGTTGGCGTGGACGCTGGACGACTGCGTGCGACTGTGGGACTACGTGGCCGGCCGGTGCATCAAGACCTACCAGGGTCACAGCAACCGGAAGTACAGCCTGCAGGGCGGGTTTGGCACGTACGGCGGAGAGTCCGGGAACGGCAGCGGCAGCGGGATGCCGGTGTATGCCTTTGCGGTCAGCGGCAGCGAGGACGGTGCCGTCTTGTGCTGGGACGTGGTGAGCAAGCAGGTCCTGCAGCGCATCGAGGGCCACACGGGCGTGGTGTTGGGGGTGGATACGTGCTCGCTCGGAGGGGCGCGGCTGATGGTCAGTTGCGGGCTGGATGGGACCGTTCGCGTCTGGGAGGAGGCGAGCACCGCCGGCGATGGGCATGGCCCGACGACCAACGGCGCGCAGACGAATGGCACCGTGCTGAACGGCTACGGGGGTTCGATCTCTGACCCCAACACGCCGGCCGAACTGGCGGGCACTGAGGATGCAACTCCGATGGCAACGACCGCGACGGAGGCTGGGTTTGCCCAGACCAACGGACACCATAGCATGCCCGAGCCCGAAGATACCGAGATGGGTGGGGCCTGAATGATAAAGGCAATCGCATTAACAGCAGCAGCTTCTTTACTGTACAGCGGTGTAAACCAAGGGATGGACGGGATGGCGTTTCAAGGTTGAGGGTGGGTGGGTTGTATACTAGACATGAGGGACGAACCACAATTACTCAACATCTACCGTGAGCAACTAGGGGAGACAAGAGTCCTACCAGCGGAGGATGGAGGATTGTCTGTTTGTATGTACTACTATTTGTAATGCTGAAAGGATATCTGGCCCGTCATCTTTGACAGATTTTGACAGAGGAAAGGGATGGAAGCAAGACCAGCCCTAAATAGCTAGCTAGCTAATTCTCGACGATGCGAAGACAGCAAGCACTTCTTGATCCCTTGAGCACCGGTAAGAACGTTGTACGCATGAGGACTGGATTGTGAGAAGCTATAGTCTGAGGCGCAGGAGGATATCAGTCGCCTCCCAAACCGACAAACCACCCCGGTGGTGGAATTGAAGATCGAACCAGAGACCGAGATGAGAAGAACCCAGCTCCAGGAAGGGCGGTCAAGGAGACCAAACTGTATATTCAATATCCTTCAATAATCAATCTACTCAAGTTGACTAACCAACCAGCCACTTGACTCAGAATCGTCAATCAACACAGTCAGCACAATGGCAATATCAAGATCCCGAGGTAAGCCAGTTTGCTTTTCTTAAGATTGTAAAAAAAAAAAAAAAAAAAAAAGGGAAATGTTATATCTATCGGCACAGCTGTCTGTCTGTATGATTCCCCAGCCAGACCCCGACCCCGACCCTCTCCGCAGCCGTGTTCCAAACCAGACCTCGGTAGACACAGTACAAGTACAAGTACAATGTACTCGTATGCAATAGAATACTCATATGTGCATAGTACACAGTAGATCAAAGCTCTCCCTCTCCCATTCATCTACGGGTAGTAGGGCCTTCTCTATCCGACACTCCGAAAGAGATCAATTGAGTCATCATCTCAATCGGCTAACTAACTACCAACTAAAATCACTCCTGCTTCCACACCCCGGCTGATGTACCAACAACACCCCCTCCCCTCCCCACCTCTCGTACCCCTCTTCTCCTCCTGCGGGATTTTTCCTGGATCAAGGAAGCTGAAGTGATGTACTGGACTCGGTACAGTACAAGGTGATAACTACACTCCACTTGCTTGACCGGACCGGAACTATCGGGGAGATTCTCACTGACGTTATAACATTATGTGCTGTACAGTGCAAGGATGGGGATAGTAACGTCTAGATACTCATAGACCGTGCAAGGCGACGAGTCAATTGTATTGGGGGACGAACTGGGAAGATTCGAGGTACTCCACCTATCGTATCTATCGTACCTACGGAGGAACCCTGCACCTGTACAGTACATGTAGACCTAGGATGACAATCATTGATATTGATATTCATCGCGGGATTAGGGACGGGGAAGAGGGGTTGGTGGTCAATGGCGCTTTTGGTTTATTGACGTGCTGTACTGGTGTAGTGTTGGGATGCTGTAGAGTCGGAGACCGAACCGCCCACCTGGGCTAAGACTGAGCATAAGCCACTACGAGGGCATGGTGTATCACCCAGAAATTCTTGCTTTTACTCACACCTATGAGTACAGGACAAGCGCAGTCAGTTAAGTTCAGCCGGTGAAGGGAAGGACAAAAAAGAACGTCGAAGAAGAACCGAAACAGCCAACAGCCAAAACCCACACCCAATGAAAGCAACCCCATTGGCGCCCTCCGCTGGAACGTGAAACACCACACAACAAGAGAGAAGGAAAAAAAATAAATAAAAAAAAACCTATCGGTAGTCTGGGTCTAGGTCTGGACCCCCAATTGGGCCGTGGGCGGATATTCTGGATTGCCAGTTGGTGGGTTGTGCACTGCTGGGTTCAGGTTTGCTTTTACTGAAGGTGTTAGTGCTAGGGATGATTGTGGTTTAGTTGGAGTGGGGGGATGGGTTGTTGACGGCGGAGACGAGGATTATCGCGTGTAAGTGGAGACTCTTTAGTGTCTTGTCGAGGGAAAGTCAATTGGGAAGTGGGAACTGGATAGATACTCTTTGTCTGGTCTGGTCTGGTCTGGGTTTTAGGGTTGGGGGTTGGTGTACGTGGGTTGTGGACGGTGTACGGGAGTAGTACTCTGTATAGACCATCAAAGACATACAAGAGTGGTGGGTACGCAGCGCAAACAACAAAGAAGGAAGGTTACATTCGCTGACCTACTGTAAACGGTCGTCGGAGAAAGAGAGACGGGATACATTCGCCACATTGACGATTATTGATTGATTGATTGATAGTCTACCATTCCTGAAGCTGCAGCATGGCACTGCATCTCCTGTCACTGTCACTGTACTGTACACCATCTACAACACGGAGTTATTCTACAGTCCCTCGTATACGATATGCTCCAGATGGCCTGATTTGAGCCACGCAACCCGGCGTCGCCAGGGATTCCTCTGCACACAAAGGAGTGACTGCGAACGACACGGAGAGATCGAGGCAGCTCCAGGCAACCAAGTAGAGCTTCCCCTGGCCCCCGTTCGGAGCTGTGTCTTGGCTATGTATGTTATTGTTGGAATGATCGCAGACCCTTGCTCAGGAAATACTTCAGGGTGAGCAGGATTCAGGAGTACTCCTGAGAGGTTGTGGTGGTGGTGAGAGACAAGAATAACCACGGAGTGATGGATCAGATGAGAAGACTTGGAATGGATGTGGTGGACTGGACTAGGGCTGCCCTGTGGAAATAGAGACCGACACACAGACACACACACACACACAGAGAGAGAAAGAAAGCCGGGCGCAAAGTGGAGCAGAGAACAGCAAAGGGAGAAAGAAAGACTGCAACACAACAGCAGCAGAGGCGTTCGTTGGAGCTCCGCCACTAAATTCACTAAATCGACTAGCGTGCAAGTAGCGCTACTGAACGCCCCATCCCACTCTGAATGACTGACAGTTCGTCCGTTGGTCATTCTATCGGTCAGGTCAGTTATTGTTCTCGTAGGAACCAAAGTGATGCAAAGAGACAGTATTATTGTTGTTGCTGTTGGGTATCTAGATCCCGTCAGCAGCTCCAGCTGTCAAACGGGTAGAAAGACTCAGGGCACAAAACTCAACTGCAGCTCGCCTGCAGGAACCCCCCCAATCTTCCCCCAACCACAAAAGCAGAACCAGCACAACATGGTCGGTCGGCCAGTCAGATCAATCATGCACAGGCCAATCTTCCACCCGATGACGTTCCACGGATCGGCCCCCCGTTGGCCGCGGTGAAGGATGCAGGGGAGAAGAGGGTAGAGTTGTGGTTGTGGTTCAGGTACCCAGACCCGACAGACCCTCTGCATAGACCTATCAAAGACCCCAATGGATGAATATCGCCAAGATGAAACACTTTCGTTTTTGTTCTTTTTGCTTTTTTTTTTTTTTTTTCCTTTTCCTTTTCTGCTTTTGTGTTTGGTACCTTTTTTTTTCTCTCTCTATTTGTTATTGTTCTTTGACTGGATCCCCGTCCTGGGCGTTTCGCCTGGTGGAAGGAAGGAAGCCCAGCCCTAATGGCTAGTTTTCCCCTCTTCTTTCGTGGGTATATATCCCTCGACTCTTTCCCTCGGTTCTGCTCTCTCTCTCTCTTTTTCTTTTCAGTATACTGATCACTCCTCAGTACCCAGTCATTCCTTTGTCATTTGACACCTGCTGAACAAATACCTGTGCCGTGCACGGTTCTGTTCATCCATTCCTTATCCTAAGCGCTACTTGAGTTCCAAGTAGCCATACCACGCCCTCCTAAGAACTCGAGAACCGGTCTTCTCAGTCTACCAACCCTCCAAAACAAAAGAGCAAAATGGTCTCCTTCACCAAAGCCCTCCTCATCGCCAGCAGCGTAGCCAGCACCGCGCTGGCGATGCCCTCGCACATCCATGCCAACCGCCACACCGGCGCCAACCACCCGCACGTCACCCTCGAGCAGCGCAGCATCAACAGCACCTCGGGCAAGCGCGGCGCGGCCTACAACAGCGCCAGCACGGTGACCACGCTGGCCCACAGCGGCACGGTGACCTGGGGCTACGACTGGAACATGTACAGCGACGGCAGCCTGCCTTCGCACGTGGAGTACGTGCCGATGCTGTGGGGCAGCAAGATGTTCGGGACGTGGTTCACGGCCATCGAGACGGCCCTGAACAGCGGCAGCAAGTACATCCTGGGCTTCAACGAGCCCGACAACAGCGGCCAGGCCGCCATGTCCTCCTCGGCGGCCGTGTCCGCCTACCAGAAGTACATTACCCCGTTCAAGGGGAAGGCCAAGCTGGTCACGCCCGCCGTCACCAACGGCGTCGGCGCCGACACGGGCCTCGCGTGGGCCGAGAACTTCCTGTCCGGCTGCGGCGGCAGCTGTGGCGTGAGCGTGCTCGCCGTGCACTGGTACGGCGACTCGGCCGCCGACTTCAAGACCTTCGTGGGCAAGGCCGTGGCGCTCGCCGACAAGTACGACCTCGACGAGACCTGGGTCACCGAGTTCGCCCTCAACAGCGCCGTCGGTGCCGGCCAGGGCACCCAGGAGGCCGCCTCCTTCCTCGAGGAGGTCGTCCCCTGGCTCGATGGCCAGAGTGGCGTCGGCCGCTATGCGTACTTCATGTGCGCCGAGGGCTATCTGTTGAACGGGGACGGGTTGAGTGCCTCCGGCCAGGCGTATATTGCTTAAGCATTGCCTCGCCTCGCCTCGCCTCTTGACTTCTGATTTGGCGGAGAGTGATGTGGGGTGCGGTTTGGCTTTGCCATTGCCTTTGCCTTTGCCTTTGCGTTTACCATTACCATTACCATTACCATTTGCCTCAAGGAAAATACCTCCCTCGAGCGGTGATTTGTTTATCATGATGATTATCGGTTTTACAGTTTTACACTTTTGATACCAGTTTGATTTTTCTTTTTCTTGTTGCGTTGCACTCACAGAGTCACTTGCAATTTGTTTCACCCTGATTCCCATTGTCCATACAGTTCCATGAATCTGAAACAACAAAAAGTCCACACAAAGACCATTGTATTGTTCCTACATAGTGCAATCCTCCAACAATTCCAACAATTCCAACAATTCCAACAAAACAATCCAACAAAACAATCCAAACCTGAAACACATTGTAAAAAGCAGACCAGACCAACCTCCTGCCCACTGCCCAGAAAACAAGTTAATTATTAGTACTGTATTGTTTGTCTCCCCCCGATCCATGGATCCATGGATCCAATAACCCCCGTCCCCAACCAACCACATGTATCGCAGCCCAAGAGCCCCGACTTTCATCGCCCGAACCAAGGATGCGCTGCTGTCTGGACTTTGGGCTGTGGGGATCA